GTAAGGTGGTCTGGTACTCCCATCTCTTTAAGAATTTGCCAGAGTTTGTTGTGATCCACACAATCTACTTGTGTGTTACCTGCAAATGAGATAATCATATTTTCTAATACACCATCCAAGTTTTTTATATGTGGGTTAAACAATACACAGCAAGCTGAAAATCTTGTCAATATTCTATATCCAAAAATCAGGCGAGCTTTCACTTTGGCTACGTTTGATATCTTGTTGTAAGCATTATTAGAAAGAAAATTCAATAGTAGTCCTCTGAAGTATCACTTTGGTCGTTGTCCATTAAGAAAGTTGAATCAGTTGGTCATATTCCTCTTTATCATTCCTTCTATTCATTTGGACATAAGGACCTAATCATGGCTTTTTCTTTAATTACTCTAGAGATGTAAAAAATGGATGCTCTTCTCCTCCTCCTAGTTAAGTCAGTGATGAAATCCAGGAGTACTGCAACATTTATGGTATCATTTTTAGAGAAATTATATTTTTTAAATGCAGTGTTTAGGGTAATGCATGTTTTGTGGTCATAGACTGAACTTGAACATGAACAGTCAGGGCTACAATGGAGCCTTGCAGCATGCCACTTGATATTTCCCTCCAGCTTAATGTTTTTGCCATCTTCTCTACTAAAAACTTTGTCAATTATTTTGCAGAAATCAAAGTCTACTATGTCCACTGCATTCCACTGGTCACCTAACCCAAGGAATATCAAAAAGGAGATCAGGTTGCTTTGGCATGATTTATTCTTGATAAACCCTGCTACCTTCTGCCAGGCAATGCATTAATTCCTAGATACTCATAAACCAACTGCTTAATAAACTCTTTCCAGAATTTTACCTGGTATTACTGTTAAGCGAACTTGCCTATAGACCCAGGTCTTCTTTTTTCCCCTTTTTGAAGATAAGAACAACTTTTGCTCTTGTTTGATCCTCTGCTGTTGTGCCCATTCTCTTCGATATCTGAAAGATCACAGAAATGTTTTAAGACAATATCTTAAAGCAACAAGCCCTGTTATATGGAGCCCAGAGTCGCTTGTTTATGAGATGGGCAGCCATATAAATCGTATAAATAAATAAATCTGCAAGTATCAAGATATAATTTCTGATTCTGAAGATTTATACTCATATTCACCTCTATTGATTTATACTCAGTCATGGAACCCCAACCATCCTTTTACTTAGCTTAGTTGCCATATCTTCTTTTTGTCAGTTGTTCCACTTAGGTCCATTCTGCACAGAGCCTCTTCCAGGACAAGACTAAAGCAAAGTAGTTGAAAAGTCTGCCTTCTCTCTGTTACCTGTTGCTATCTTTTCTTCTCCTAAAAGTGGGTCCACCAGTTCCCAATACTTTGTTTACCCTGACATAGCCAAAAACCCCTTTTGGTGCTTTTAGTGTCTTTTGTGAATTTAAGTTTCTTTTGCACTTTACTCTTTCTAACTTTCTACAAATGTTATCTATTTGCTAATAAACCTCCTTGGTGATTTGTTATACATATCCCTTTTAACTTTTAGCTCAGTCAAGCAGCTCCTATACAGGTAGTCTTAGTTTAGTGGCTGCAGTTGGTTCCAGCAAGATGGTTACTAAGTAACATGGTCACTAAGTGAACCATGTGATATAGAGAGAGGGACTCTATGAAGATCACTGGCTGCTGCTGTCTCATTCAGATAAAGGTCTCTCATTCAGTGTCCTGTGCCTGACCTGGTTTTTTTTCCTTTTTTTGCCCCCTGGCATGGCTGAGAGATTGCTTAAACAAGCTATCTCTTCCTGAGCTGCTTTTCTCCACAGTGCAGTGCTAACTGCAAGTTAACAACCTCAGCTCTGTGACCTTAATTAGTTGATTAGAACCCTGGCCTGCTTCCAGCTGCTGCCTGAAACTGACCAGACCTTAATCAGTTTCATACTGAAGGCTTTTGTTGTCCTAAATGTTTCCTTTGTCAGAAAATGATTTTTAATTACGTTTTATTACTGTTGTACTTGCAAACAGTCTCTGAGGCAGTTGCTAAACAAGGATTACCTGTATACCCACAATTCCTAAGATGCTTCCCATTTTATTTCTCATTGGAACAGTGGGTGATTGGAATATCTTATTTGTCCCCAGTTTTCCAGCTTTCCCTTTGACCTGAGGATTTCTCTCCATGGGGCCCACCTAGTACTTCTCTAATCTTATTGAAATTAACTCTCCTGAAATCTACTATTTATGCACAACTGTGATCCAATTTCTCTTTCTATATTATTTTGATCTTCAAGATGAAATGCTTGGCAAGGTTCCCACTGCCTTTGCCTCTTCAGTTGACTCTTCCCTATTGGTCAGGATGAGATCTAGAAGAGCTGATTCCCTTGTCTTTTATATAGCCTTCTGAAAAATGAAAGAGGAATTTTCAGGACCTTGGCTAAGTTGGCTTCTAACAGTTGTCTAGATATCTGGCTCCTTTATTATTACATTTCTCCTCCCTGAAAGTTTTGTAGTCGGATCCAGGAGGGCATCATCCAGATCTCCTTAGCAGTAGCATAGAATACAATAATACTGTTTTTGTTTCTCTTTCTCTGTATTCTTTTCCAAATCTTCTCAAATGGACTCTCATGTTCAAATTGCTGGATCTCAATACATATGTGCATTTCCTTCAGATATAATGCCAATCCTTCTCCCTTTTGCCTTTTAAAAAAGTTACAGGTAGTCCTTGGCTTACGTCCATTTGTTCAGTGACCATTCAGAGTTACGGCAGCGCTGAAAAAATGGACATACAACCAGTCCTTGAAGTTCCGGCCATCACAGCACCCTCACAGTCACATGATCACGTTCCAGGTGCTCAGGTACCTGGCTTGCAATTATGAAATCACAGGGAGCCATTGTAACATGATTGCCATTTGCAATTTTCCTTGCCAGCTTCCCACAAGCAAATTGCTCCAGTAAGTTGCTCCCACTTTTTCTCCCACCAAGCACCCTTCCCTGCCCATGTGCAGCCTCTGCCAGCCCTCCCAGGTCCTCTCCCAGCTTTGCACATGGCCTGTGCCAACCCTTCCAAACCCTCCCATGGCTTCCACCACCCCCCGCAGCACCCCCACACTCCTTACCTGGGACTCCTGCCTCTTCTCACTTAATTAGCTCTGCGTCTTGGGGTTACAACAGCAACCAGGACTGTCCGGGATTGCCATCACTAAGTGATGCAGTCATGTGACATCGCACTTTACAACCGCATCGCTTAGTGATGGCAATTCTGGTCCCAATTGCTGTCATAACCCGAGGACTACCTGTATACATTTCAATCTGTGCATTCCATTCATGATCTTCATCCTACTAGGTTTCAATAATTCATGCTAAATTTATTTGCCTTCCTGCATTAAATTCTTTTCTCTTTGTACCCTATATTATATGCATTTATATGGAGACACTGGAATCCTTGGATCTTTCCCATCCTGTATTTATGTGCCCATTATTGCATGTCTCCACGTCCTGCTTACTCTTCCTAATCCTGTTCCCAGTACTTGGTATAGTACTACTTTCTGGATTCATTTTTCTCTCCCCACAGGATTCAAGTTAAAGTCCTCTGGATCAGGTTTAATATATATATATATATATTTGTAAAAGTTTTACAAAGAACATAAAAACTAACACAAACTGATAAAGAGTAAAAAAAGCAAAAAGAGAAGAAAGAAAAAAGAAAAAGTGTCAAAAGAAAGAACAAAAAGAAAAAAAAGAAGCTTCCAATTTCTTTTGCAGCAGTTATAAGTACAATTACAAAATTAACTCTTACTCTATGATTACAAAAAAACCTCATCTTTTTCTGTTGTCCACTTTTTTTTCTAATCATCAAAGCCACAAATCATAAGTGCATTTTTTCCATTTCATGCAAAAAGTCTGTAAGGGGTTTCCAGTCAGCCATAAATGTAGATATTGTTTTTTCTCTAATCAAAGAAGTTAATTTAGCCATCTCTGCAAGTTCCATTATCTTCACCAGTCATTCCTCCATTGAACCTTTCCATTTTTGACAATATAATAGTCTTGCTGCAGTTTTCATATAAAAAACAAAGTTCCCTAACTTTTTTCTAATTGCCTGTCCATTAGTCCCAAAAGAAAAGTATCTGGTTTCAACTGTATTTTAACCTTTAAAAT